ATGGCCACTGAGATGTGGACTGTGCTAAAATTGAGTATTTAGAGCCTTGATGCTCTCTTGGTCCTTATTATGGACTAAAGAGCATTCCATGATTGTTTTGGGAATAGCTTATGTCTAATTTTCATGAAAAATTTCTAGGACACAGGTGTGAACCTCAGCTTGTTTAGGAGGCTTCAGTGTGAGCTCAGGGCTAGCCTGAGCACTTTGTAAGTGTTGGTACAACTGGGGCTCCTTAGACATGTGTTCTGTTTTCTCTGTGCCCTGGAGGGAGTAACTCTGGGGGGCGTGGAAGCTTGGAGACGTGCACTTGAGCATCCTTTCAAGAATTGGATGTTAATATCTGAGTTTCTCATAAGGGAAGCAGGCTTTATCGACTAAATTTTAAAGGAGTTGAAGTTTGGCTTTTCATTGGCTGATGATGAGGAGAAATGATTTTCTGTTTAAGCTGTATTCCACAAGAGCTGGGACTCTGGTTGGGAAGCAGAGAGATGGACGGATCTCCAAAGGGGCTTGTGATTATAACTGCTTTTCTTCCTAGATATTGATGAAAATCATTTATCAAAACAAAATTATTTCTGTTTAGAATGCATTTCATGTCTCTGGGCCAGTTACTTAAACATAAGGGTTTGTTTTTGGTTTTTTGTTTTGTTTTGTTTTGCTTTTTTGTTTTTTTTGTTTGTTTGTTTGTTTTTGTTTTTCGAGACAGGATTTCTCTGTAGCTTTGGAGCCTGTCCTGAAACTAGCTCTTGTAGACCAGGCTGGCCTTGAACTCACAGAGACCGGCCAGCCTCTGCCTCCTGAGTGCTGGGATTAAAAGTGTGCGCCACCACGCCTGTCAGTAAGTTTTATTTGGATTAATAACAGATTTTAAAAAAATTTTCTATTTATTTGTTTTGAGAGTGGTATACACACTGCCGTGAAGCATGCACAGAGGGCAGAGGCCAGCTTCTAGGATTTGGTTCTTTGGCTCTTTCCTTCCACAGTGTAGATTGGAGATGGACTCTGCATTAGGTTTGGTGGGAAGCATCTTTATAGTGAGCCGTCTTGCCAGCCCTACAGATGTTTTAAAACATGCTGTAGCTTGCTTGTTATAGTCTTAATATTTTAAAATGTATACTTGGAAAGGTTGTTTTGCAGATTGTTTAAGGTAGATGTAAAATAAAGAACAGATTTTTATCTCGATATAATGTAATTTTTAAATTTTTTTTTCTCTTTTAGAGAAAACATAAAACAGATAGTAAAACTTCTTGCAAGTGTTCGGGCTTTGGATCATGCTGTGTCTGTTGCAAGTGACCACAATGTGAAAGAACTTAAGTCTCTGATTGAAGGAAAATAGATCAATGAGACTGAAAAGTGTTTGCTTTGCCCATTCCCAGTGTGTAAATTTTGTATATATGTAAAGTTTCTTACACTGTAAAATACTGATTCTTGTTTAAATACAAAAACATTATATTACTACTGTGTCCTTAAATGTGAGTTCTTCAGAATGAAAGGAATTCAGATTATTTCTAGGAGTCTTTAAGTGTTTTCCTTACTGCCTGTCATATTTTGTTTATGGGAGTATTTTGTATCATTAAATTAACTTCATTTAAGTGTCCTCTATAAATGACGTGTGTGCAATGTAAATTGTGTAATTATGCATACATATATGTATATATTTATACTGCCATGGGTTTTCATGCTGGAAATATGGTGTTTGGTGTTTTTCTACAGAGGAAGCTTTTTAACAACAGAACCTTACCCAGTAGTGGTCGTCTTAGGGAACTACCGCACTGCTTCAACAGAAGGGCTGGCAGGTGATGACCCTTCACCCCCACTTTAGCTAGCATCATTGTCACTTGTAGCTGTACTGCCTTAAAATGAGAGCTGAGTTACGGACGTTGCTGAGTGAGTGTGAATTTCTGTGAATTGGCCTTGGAGGCCAATGTGGGTTTAATATGAGCTCCAGGTGAGAGATGCAAGAGTTTGGGGTGGGAGGGACCTCAGTTTAGTTTCTGACAATAAGCCCACAAGCTAAGTGCATGGTTTAGGCTGACTGTCCTTTCTCATTCATGAGTTTACTCCCTATCCAGCTTACAGATACAGATACAGTCTTATCATTTTAAATCCCACATATGTGAGTTATATATGCAATAAAGAATATGCCTTGCTGATTAGACACATCCAAGCAATTTACTATTGGTGGTCTTCTGTAATGTTTATACCACATTGTAAATACTCAGAGAAACTTGTTTTAATGCTTTCTGATTCTGTGGTTTTCAAAAGAGGAACTTTTTGGAAATTAAGGACTATTGTTTGATAATTATATGTGTAATTAAGCTTTAGCCAAGCATTAAATTAATTTTTAAATACATCCTTCGTTGTATTTTGCTGGTGACTTAAGTTTAGAGTATTCCAAATGATTCATATAGTGAGACCATTCACAGTCTAGTGCCTACTCTTAAAGCCAGATAATTCTACAGGACAGTGTTGTGCCCTCCTTCCTCCGTCAGTTTGCTTGTAGGAGCATGTCCTAACTCCACGTGGTCATTCTGAGGGAATTTTTTTATGCTTTGTGGGCTCCTAAATGGAATTAAACTCTAAAAAAATTCATTCTCAATGTCAGTGGATTAAAACAAACACAAATAGGTAATTGATCCTTAACTATGTTTCCAAGCCTCTCACATAAATCATTTCTGTATGTTTTTAATAACTCTTAGGATGAACACTGAGACTTCCTATCCTAGCTTTTAGTTACAGCCTTGAACACTATCCCAAGACTCTGGAATGTAGCACAGAACTGTGTTTAAAACTTAGTCTGTATGTTTCAACAGCTTAGCGAGTAATGAACACTAAATAGGAATTCTCAGTTGCTGTGTCATTGTCACATACTAGTTGAGTATCTTAAAATAATTATTTTTGAATGCTGAAGGCCTGAAATTGGAAATAAGTGTCACCAGGACTCTTGTGTCCTGTCAAGGTTCTTACTCTTGTCAGAATTCTCCAGTCTGCCGTTTGTCTTCATGTCATGAGTATCTGACTCCCCTTCTGTCTCCTTTGTAAGGGTACTTGCCATTTCATATAGGTTTCCTGCATATACGTGGTAATCTATTGGACATCTAAAAAAACCACCTCAAGACTTCTTTGCCAAGTCTACCTCCTATTTGCTGGCTTCAAGTATCAGGGTGTGAATATTTTGAGATGGTTTGTCACAAGCCTCACTCACTATTCACTTTCTAAGCCAAGAAGGCAGTGGCATCTCTGCAATCCTTCAGACCAAGTCTATACCACTGAAGTATTTTAAGTTAGCCTCTTGTAAAGACGACAGTTGACTCAAATGTACAGCTAATTGGAAATGCTATAACAAGATAAGAAGAGGACAATAAGGACCTTAAAAGTCACTGGTATGTTCTTCAACTCCTGGACTTAGTTATGATTAAAAATTTATTTTGACAGGACTTGGGTAAGCTTTGACTTAAGACTAGAAATGTATCCTGTTTCCTCTAGTTTTATTTGAAGAAAGAAATTGCAACCTAGAAGTTCGACTCTCCACTTCCTTAGTTAAAAAATAAACCAAGAGCCGGGCGGTGGTGGCGCACGCCTTTAATCCCAGCACTCGGGAGGCAGAGGTAGGCGGATCTCTGTGAGTTCGAGACCAGCCTGGTCTACAGAGCTAGTTCCAGGACAGGCTCCAAAGCCACAGAGAAACCCTGTCTCGAAAAAAAAATAAACCAAGAACAGTCAGAAAGCTTCCATTAGAAAGAACCAGGGTTTATGGTATAGTCTCAGATTCTTGAGTGAAGAGATTGATTATAGCTCCACTTAACTATGATTTCAGGTGTCATAAAATGGTACATTCCTAGGGCTGGGGATGCCCTCTGTAGAATGCCTGCCTGGTATGCATGAAGTACTGGGTTCAGTCCTTGTCACCACATGAACCAGGCATGGTGGCACACCGGCCTCGACTTTGACTCTTGGTCTCAGCAAAGGTAGCCCTCGATAGGTAGTTACGTCATATTCAGGCGTCATGTTCTCACCCCTTCCATTTCTTTAAAGGATTGTCCCCAACTGAAATGGACATGTCTCAAAAGGAAAATGACTAACACAGTCCACTGCAGCATTTCAATTATCACTGAACGCTTGTGGTTACTGTAACCACAACAAAAAGCAAAAGTTTTTCTAAGGGGACTACTAAGTGAAAAGAACTCAGAACTAAATCCAAGTGTGTTTCTCCTTGAGTAGAGTGGCTTGTGTTTTTAGTATGTGAAACCAGGGTTGAATTTGTCTTCGATAAGATGGAGAAATGTTGAGTCACATGATAGAGCCTGTTAGAGGAACTGATTTTGTGCAACGCATCATATTGTGGTTTTAGGGGGAAAACAGCAAAAAGGGGAAGAGGCTAGAAAAAAGCAAAGGCAAGCAGAAACATGAATGCTGGGTTCCTCGGGCTGTCAATTCTTTCCTAAAGCCCTATTAATTACATCTTTCCTCTATTCTTGTCTATGAAATAGAAGCAGAATAAAATAATTCTGCCGAACACAAATCATAAGCATGATGGGTTGAGAAAAAGAAACGGTATGGAACAGTGTGAACCTCTTAATTATTCCACGGTCTGCATATCGGCACATCACTAAGTGACAGCCATGTTTTGTTTAGCAGCCTTGAGGTGGCTGCTGACTCCCTCGCTCTCTTCCACAGTCAGGAGCGGTCTCCAGGGCCTGACACCATGGACAGCTCTCGGGGCGCCAGCCGGCCCGCGCGGCTGGCAGACCGTGCCCAGCCCTCCCCGGCCGGTCGGGCCCGCGGAGGCGGTAGGGGGTGGTCCCGATGCCCGACGCGGGCCCCCGCAGCTCTCCCGCAGCCCCTCCCTGCTGTCCGCGGGGAGGGCCGGCGAGCTCGCAGGACTCCACGCGAGGAGGCCGGACCCTCTGCCGGTTTCCCTGGACGTACGACCCCTCCGCTCCTGCGTTGACCAAGGCGTCACGGACTCAGGGACTCAGGTCACGGGGACTGCGGGACCCGAGAGGCTCACCGGCAACGGCTCCGCCCCTTCACCCTCAGGGGCGGATCTTCCGCCCCCGGCATCGGTGCAATGCGGAAGAGCTGGGCCTGCTGGAGCGGAAGTGACGCCACCGGCGGCTGTAGCGGCGGCGGCTGCGGGAGAAGGAGGAGGAGGAGCCGGAGGAAGAGGTGAGGCGGCCGGCGGGGGGCGGGGAGCGGCCGCGTCCAGATCCAGCGGCAGCCGGCCGGGCGGGTGGACGCTTCCTGAGCAGCGGCTGTGGTCGCAGCCGGGACGCGAGCGGTGAGAGGCGGCTGCGGGGCGTCCCGCTGCGGGTGGTGAGGGGACCGCGGGGCAGCGGGTGGCTACTGTGACAGCGGCTGTCACCCCGCGGGCGGGAAAGAACCCGGTCAGCAAAGGCTCCGGGGCATCTCTTGAGGCGCATAATGGAGGCACTGGACTGTCCGGTGCCTCCGTTTCCCTGGCTACCCCGGAACCCCTTGAGCCGCGGTGGGATCCGTTCGTCACCGTGACCTGCGTGACTGGGCGGAAGGCGACGGTCACCTGGGTGGCTTTCCCTGCCCTTCGCCACCGCCCTGGGGAGTCCGCGATGCTACAATCCCTACCCTCCTCCGGCCCCCTCAGGGGCTTTGAGGCAGCCCGGTTGACCTTCCCTCCCGTCTCCTGGCCTTTTCCGCCTAAGGATCAACCCGAAGTTCCCCCTTGAGTTCCCTTCCAGTAGTGACAGATCGTGAAGCAGGAAGCTGATAAACAACCCCAACCGAAAATACACTCCAGATTTTCCTGTGGGTAAACATGGGAAATTCACCTTATCCAATTCAGTACCCGCAGTGCTAAAACCCTGCCTTTCCTTGCTGTGCCTTGAGACTTGGAAGCGTTTCCTTGTGCCTTTTGGTAGAAATTTGGTGACGCCTTATCTTTTGGAATAAATGGTTCACCCCAGATTTCTCTTTTTCTCCACCCCCGCCTCCATCAAACTTGGCAAGGAGGGACCCCTGGGTGTCTTGCAGCCTCCTGGCTTGACTTGGCTTGGTTTTCACAGGGCTCCCTCTGAAGAGAGGAGAATGGCGTTCAGCAAAGGATTTCGAATCTACCACAAATTGGATCCCCCACCGTTCAGCCTCATAGTGGAAACTCGGCATAAGGAAGAATGTCTCATGTTCGAGTCTGGGGCTGTGGCTGTGCTCTGTAAGTCACGTGTTTTAGCCTAACCGATTATGATCTCTGGTTTGTAGCTCTGAAGTTCAATAGTTCATAAAAAAAAAAATTCTTGGAAGCCTTCTTATGGAATTTTATCTGATGGACGTATTCTTTGACTTAATTTGAATGAAACCTTGTTTCCTGTAAACTCAGACTTAGGTTTTTGTTTGGGGGAGGTGGTTCAGGAGGTGCAGATTTTGCCCGTGGGATTTTGTTTTTCTTGGGTTCTATCTACTTCTAGAAGAGTATCTTTCTGTGAACTTCTGTTCCTGTTATGTCTTATCACATGAACCCAGTAGGACAGCTGGCTTGACATCTGTAATGCCCAGAATTTTGCAATAATATTATCTGTTATAGGTTTCTGTATTATCTTATGTTGAACCCTTATTTATTTTTGTTGTTTTTATTTTATATTTTTTTATATTTTGGTGTGCCTCGTGCGCATGTGTGATGTTGGTGGGTCAGATGCAGGACTTCAGTTACCTAGGCAAGTGCTCTCCTGCTGATCCCTTCCCAAGTGCGCATGTGTGATGGTGGGTTAGTTTCAGATCAGGCACATGATTGATCGACTTCTCCAGCCTAAGTGTTTGTATTTTCAGTAAAAACTGCAAACAGTTACTAAAAGTTTCATGTGAGATATGCGATTGTTTTCATATTATTTAAAAATGACTTTGAGACCAGCCTGGTCTACAAGAGCTAGTTCCAGGACAGGATCCAAAACCACAGAGAAACCCTGTCTCGAAAAACTAAAAAAAAAAAAAAAAATGACTTTGATTTTTAAAGAAAAGAACTACTTATTGTAGCACACACAATCACATACACACAAAATAAAGATTGGGTTAATATGTGACAGGTGAATGAAAATAGAAATTCTAATTAACATTATGCTTTTTTTTTACATTTAATATTTGTGTGTAAGGGGGCACATGTGGGTCAGAGGTCAGCTTTGGGAGTAGGTTCTCTCCTCCTACTGTTTGTGTTCCAGTGACAGAACTCAGGTGTTAGGCTTGGTGGCCAATGCTGAGATACCTCAGGGTGCCCCATACTTCATTCTTAATAGAAAACTGGGGCAGGTAACCCTGGTTTGGGGTTGTCTTAAGTATGACTTTTTAAAACAGATTTTCTAATGGTAATTATTTGTTCTTAGGATTTTTTTTTAAAGCAATGCGTTTTAGCCTGATCCTTCATGATATAGCCAAAGCTGTTGAATTGCAGATCCCCGGCTTCCATGTCCTGAGTGCTGGGAATACAGTGTGCACAACTGTGCTAGGCTTATGAGTGCTGCGGGCTGAACTCAGGCAAACACTCTGCCATCTGAGCTACATCCCAAGCCCTCTTTGATAGATTTTTCTCAGATTGTTTATAGGTCATATATCTATAAATTAAAATTACCGTTTGGACTGGGGGCATGCTTAGTTGTAAGCATGAGGACTTGAGTGTGATCCTAGCATCCTCATGAAAGCCTGGCATGGTACTACATGCCTATAACCCTAGATAAGGGCAGCAGAGGCAGGAAGGTCCCTGAGACCCTGTCTCAAGAAATAATATGGAGAGCAATAATGGGAAACATCTGATATCAACCTCTGACTGCCATGTGAACTCTCATTACATATACGTGTGTGTATGTGTGTGTATATTTAATATATAATAAATATAAAATAAAGGAAGGTATTTGATAACAACCTCTGGCCTCCATGAATACTCTGTATGTGTGTATATATGTGCATTTAATTAATAAACATAAAGGAAGACACCTGATGTCAGCCTCTGACCTCCAAGCATACTCTCATGCATACTCATATATATATATGTGTGTGTGTGTGTGTGTGTGTGTGTGATATTACTGTGTATACACATAATAATGTTTGAAAAACATATTTACTAACATAAGCCATAAATCTTTCAACTACTGCTCTTTCTGTAGACTCAGTAAGTACAGCATATAATATTCTGACCCACGTATTTATAGGTGAGCCTGACTAATACAGTAAAATGTATCCTGGTGGGGAGAATAATAGTGACATAATGAACAACTCTTAAGCAAAGATCAGTATATAACAGTATATAAATATTTAGTGTATATTTTTTATACATACAGTATCATGGTTTGAAGAAAGAGGCATGAGGCTAGATACATCCAAGAAAAAGGTTAAGTAATATTTAGCATAAACTTTATTACTCTAAATTGGTTTTTATGTTTTAATAAAATAAAAATGACATGCTCTCATGTTAATCCACATAGCCTACATTTTCATACTATAGATGTACTTACACTAATGAATGCTGAAATAAAACATCAGATTGGAGGGCTTTGCTTGGTAATATAATGTCTTTCAACTGCTTGTGTTTTGGTTGACATTACCTGATTTATTAATGTTTAAATTCTAGTATATTTTTAAATTGTGGTTACTCATAATTGTGGTGGGAAGTCAGTATGAATAAATTATGAATTTACCTGTAGTTTTAAGTTATTGCTATACATTCGAAAAACCTAAGAATAATTATACTTCTAAAACCTCTAGTAGTTATCTTTTATGTCAAATACTGATTTTAAAAGGCTCTAAAACTTTCATTTGGGGCATTAATTATGAGGTGGAATATTATTAAGATATTATCTTAACAGTATATACTTATTTTCACTGCTGGTAATTGAAACTAAGTACTGCATATTAAGCAAGCACTCTAACACCGAGCTATATCCGTAGCTCAGTTGTTTCTAATTGTGTTTCTCTTCATTGGATTTAAGCTGTGTAAGTAATCTAAGAGGACGTTTGAATACTGCTTTTCTCTGTAAAGCTAACATAAATGGATACATACTCTCTTGGGTGTGTGTTATGTTTTCTATAAACTCTATAGCAGCACATAAAATATATTTTATTTGACTTTTTAATTGATATATAAGAAACAAAAACTACACATGATGTTTCAACACATTTATATATTATAGAATGTTGAAATGGGTTGGACATTTGCCATTTATGGTGAAAACATGCAAAACTCTTTAGTCTTATAGGACATTGCTACCTTTAGCTCACTACTGTGCAATAATAAAATATTAATCTTTAAGTGAAAACTTTTTTCTTTTTAGATAAATTGACTTATAAAATTAGGTGCTAATGTTATGTTAAACATCTATAACCCCAACACTCAGGAGGCAGAAGCAGAAAGAGCTTGTATTTGAGGCTATCCTGGGGTACATAGCAACAGCCTGTCACACAAAAAGTTTAATTTGGCATTTGGTTTGGAGTTATACCAAGATAGATGTTGTCCTGCATGTTTGGCTTCTAAAACAACCTACAGAATTTTGAATGCCTGCTCCATTCCGGAAACTGTCCATAAGATTGGGTGTGTTCTCTTCACCTTCCCTCTTCTCAGCCACTGAATTTCAGGGCAGCCTGCCTATCAGTCTACAAGAAATGTCGTCTAAAGTCATTTTTATAGTACGTCAAAGTGTGGCCCTGTTTTCTTAAGGTTAAAATCCTCAGCCTGTTCATCAAGGTCTTCCTTAGCCTCACTCCGCTCTTTCTGTACAGTGGTAACCTCCTCTGGGAGATGGTTTCAGTGTTCTCCCAAAGTACTAGGACTTACCAGTCTTTATGATGTTCTTTTAGATTTGTACCAACTTAATCAGTCATTGATGTGTTGGGTTGTTTGTTTGTTTGTTGTTTTAGGTCTGTTTCTGACAGGGTCTCTCAAAGCATAGGCTAGTCTCAAACTTGCTCCTTAGTTGAAGATGACCTTGAACTTCTGATCCTCCTAAGTGCTGAGTCAATGGCTTTCTGTGTCTAGGCTGCACAAAATAATCATCTGGGAAGATTTCTCAAATACTGGTACCTAAGCTTCTTTCTCATAGTCATATCAAAATGATAATTTCTGAGCAAAACATACATGTAACTTGCTATGATATATTTACCAGGTCACTTTTTTTGACCTATAGATTTTTATCTAAAATAACTATGTTCCAGAATTATAATACTGTGATTGTATATTATGAAGCTAATCATTTTCTTGAAGCCCTCAGACTGTATCAAAAGGTAGTTTTTCATGACATTTTCAGTACAGTGTTTTCATATCACATGGAACTGTATACATGTTTCTTAATGATTGACACTAGTGGGAAAGACTACCCTGCATTAGAGAGTGACAGACTCAGAGTTGTCTGTTTGGAAATACAGTATATTGGCTAAGCAGATGACTCCATGGATAAAGTGTTTGCTGAGCAACTCTGAGGACTTGAGTTTGGGTTCTGGCACCAACTTAAAATTTGAGCTGGGTATTGACTGGAGAGAGGCAGATCCCAGGGATGACTGACTGGTCAGCCAAGAGACATCGAGCTCTGGCCTCTGAGAGACACATCTGACCTGCCAGCATCTGACTTTCATATGTAATATGCAGGCAAGCACAGCTATACACACACATACCCACATCCCACACACATGTATGTTTTGTATCTTTTTGTTTGTTTCTTTGTTTTGCCTTGATGGATTGAACCCAAGATTCACAGTTGTAGGCAAGCACAATACTACTGAGCTGCATTTCTTGCCCAATTTAATTTTTGATTGGCATATAATAATTTGTATAGTTTTATGGGGTACAGTGTAGTATTTCTCTATATACATACAGCACGTTATGATCAGATCAAGGTAGTTAAGCATATTTATGGTCTCAAACATTTATTGTTTTTGAACCATTCAAAATCCTTCATAGCCATTTTGAAATATACGTTATTACTGGCTATAATTACCCTGGTGTGTAAATAGAGCAACAGAACTTATTTCTCTTATATAATTGACTTTCTATCCACAGACAGATTTGTCCAGCGTCACTCCCATCCTCTTTGGCCATTAGTAACTGTTATCCTAGTCCATGTTTCTGTGATACTGACTTTTCTTAGGTTCCACAAATGGTGAGATCATGTCATCTAGTGTTTGTCATGCTTCCTTGCCTATTCACTTCACATTGTGTTCTCCAGGTCCTTCCATGCTGTG